AAGAGAGTATGGCCAGTCCAGATGCTGAAGCGGCTATCGTGCTGCAAGTTCACTAAAATCAAAACAAATGTTTACAGCCCAGCAAGTTTGTGAGCACAGAGTCTCATCATGTTTAATTTTTTCAATTTTCAACTATCGACCCTGGAAAGTGAGCAGCAGATAAGTAACATGGCATAGCCTTTTCACAGTGGGCCTTCCGACACCAGAGCGGTCAGCGATGAGCCCACTACTGAAAGCTGCGCGTACTAAAACCAAATTGCTGCTTCTTCGACCAGGAGGCATGACTTTATTAATGAAATGACATTTTAAAAAATCCCACAAAAAATTCGAATTGAGGCCCGAGTACTAATGAGCTCGAAAGGGCAGAGCCTTGTAGAGCTACTTACCACAAAATCGATTACACACGCGGATGTGCTGGTGGAAGGAATTACAAAAATGTTCTTCAATATCCATGGATAAAGTATATTTGAGAAAAAGTGTCAATGCATTCCCGCTGTTCACGCAATTTTCTGTAGACATGAAGCATGGAAAATTCGATCACGATGCCCATAAATAGACGCAACAGAAATTCTGGCGGTACGCATGCAGTTCACTGTAGTTCACTGCAACTTTTACTGTAGTGAAACTACAGTGAAAGTTGCTTTAATAACGTGCAGTGAGACTTTTGAAACGGTCAGCGTTTATGAAATGAACAATGTCCGCCGATGTGCTCCCAATTGGCCTAGACGTCACAAGGCTCTGTGGAAAGCACGTTTTACCATTGAGCCGGCTTGCACAACACAAGCTGCGTCGGCACCAAGCACAGAATTGTAGATTAGTTGTGATGGACGCGTGACCGCTTTTTATTCCGCAGAAAAATTCCCGTCACTGATTTTGACTTCGATGGCCTCGAGAAAAAGTAGCACATGTTTAGACTCACTAGCGTGGCTATTGTTGGTGAAAGACACTCCCAAACCTAAGACTTTGGCACAGTTTGGCACAATTTCTGCGGATATTATCAGGATGGCACAGCAATTTTGATATGGCGCACTTTGGGGTGCTTGGTGCAGAAGTAGAATCACTGCAAATACTGTAATACGTACTAGATTATTCTAAGCATTTGAATATTTGCACAAACCCAATAAACAAGCTGCAAATCTTCGGAGAGGCTGCTGTAAACAAATATTCTGTGAATGCTAAAATCTGTCCCATTCAACCCGCTTCATTGGTAGAGTGGAAGATCACTTAGGAGGAGTAAGACAAATGTAGCACAATGGTACAAGTGTCTCCAGTGACTTTGATAAACGGATAGTTGAACATCAAACAATAAACGGAATTGTGTACTACTGCAAATACTTGCAGCATTATCACACAATGTCTGTAATTGATGGAGTTCCCATGTCTACTTAAGAGGAAAGTAGAACAAAGAACTCGTTTTTTTGTCCCGCAGGAACTACCCGATGCCACTGACATGTTATTACTGCTCTTGACTCTAGTCTAATGAACGCCAAATTTTTTTACTGAAATTGGCAAAAAAAAAATCACCTTTTGCCACTTGATTATATTCATTAGGCCAGTTGATTTCTCAAATGTCATGCCAGTCATCATCCAAGCCTGACTAGTCATAAGACTGGTCAAAGTCAACAGCAAGTGTACCTGAAGAACGGCAATTTTTCAGCAAATGCTATTTCTTTTTTTCAGGTGGGCTGTGGCAGTACTGTACTGCCCTTCTCTTTTTAAGTCAAATTTCGAGCAAGCTTCTGTGAACTCTCGTTCACTCGTATGCTTCCCAATGTAGAGGAACGTCTTGCTTCTTCTTTTCTTTTTTTTCTTCTGTTTGCGCCATCTAATGCGATGTAGCAGAAGGATAGAGAGGAATGAGACAGTGTCCTGTTCCTTCCTCTACTCAACCGTCCCATTCCTCTTCAAGGGAGACTAAAGAGCGAAATAATTTTTCGCGTGTACATAGAGTACAATTTTACAATCTCGAAAATACCATTCTTAATGCGACAAAACAATTAGGAAGCGAGAAAAAGCGTGAAAACAAAATGCGGCTGGCAACACCACCTTAAGATTCCTGCACAAAATGGCACAACGTAAGAAATTTTGAAGCTGTCTACTAGGTCCTATATTGCTTCCAATTGATAAATATGAGCTACATTGTAATCTGGGGATGCCTTAGACTTAGCATACAGAGTTTCAAAAAATTTCATCGAGCCAATGCTATGAAAATACTGAAAATACATGTTGAAATTTCTTACGTCATGTGCAAAGATTTTCACATGAAACTTAAAAATGATACTTCAAGCTTGATTTTCTTCACTCATAATGAACTGAGAGTAAAATACATGGCACTCGACTTCTCAGAGTGCAGTTTGTGAACCTTAATCAAGTCACTGTTTTTATTTAGTGTCCCTTTAAACTATGTTTCCCAATATGAACAATGTTCAACGGCTAAAGTTGAGTCATAATTCTTAAACCTTTTCTTTAAAAAAGTACAGTACTGATGCATGTTTCCGTATAAAAATTGATATTAGCACCCACAAAGTGGTCGAATCCTGAGAGCATTACAATTGTGATAGCAAAAAGTTTCTTTCGAGAAATGAAAAAAGGTGACGTCCAGAGACATAAAGATCCACTTGCCGAATACGCCCGCTATTATATCCATGCAATGGATCTGTTAACACCATTTCACAAATCTAGTGATGGAAGTGACTTTTTTACTTTTCGGAGCATACTTTGAAGCAGAAAAAGCATTGTTTTGGAACAGCCATAGGTGTTTTCAGAGCAGACAAAAATGTTGTTTTGGAGCAACTACAGGTGTTTTAGAAGCAGATACAAAATTTGTCATACACCAATTGGAGTTGAAAGCATTGTTGAAGCATCCCGTAAGTACCAAAATATTATTTGATACAATATATATCTCACAGACAACAATTTCTGAAACTTTCAAGAAGCAAACAGCAAGATGGCTGGTTCTCAAACATGTGCGGAGAAATGATCTATATAGTTAAAATACTAATATTTGTAGCAGTGCACTATACCCACCTAAATATTTTGCCACTCACAGAACTACTCAAACAAAGGCTACCTCTATTTATTTTTCAGCTAAAGCGATGTGACACCTCCATTCCTACTTACTCAAATGAATTTTTTGTCAACACCAAGATTACGAGGTTCTTCTCAAACGACAATCTACTTCCCGGCGTTCGGGCAAATTACAGAAAACTAACAGCCCTTTTTTCAGGCATATCAGTTTGGAACTTCATACCATACGAAATTGAATCAGCGTCATCTATACATACAGTTCAAAGCCTTCACAAAAAATACTGTCTCGACACATTATGTGAGCAGGTACACTAACTTAGCGATATGCCATTTTTGTTTTTATATATTTTCTTTTTTTTGTGGCATTGCACATGCTTGATTTGCTATCATTACTGTTGAATACTTTCTTTTTTTTTTTCATTATTAATGTTGCTTTTATTTTGTAGCCACCATTTTCTATATCGTTTGGTATTCATTCTTTTATAAACTGCTGTTGTGGTGAATCTTATACGTTCACTTTGTTTTCATCAATTCATGACGTCTGTGTCATGAATATTTCCAATTTAACTTTGTGTTTTTTTTTTTTTTTCAACTTATATGACAGTTATGAATTTATATACCATTGCAGCTTTTTGTTGTTTGTTGCTTTCTTTTTTTGTTTATTTCTTGCTTTGATTTTTTCTAATGTAGCTCTTTAGCTTTCCTGTAAATTAAATTTTATACATGTATTTTTTCTCATATTGCTCACGACACTAAATATACATATGTTCTAGTATTAGGAAGTCCCCCCATCCCCCATCAGTTCTTGAAACTATGGAACCTCCAGATGTAATACTTCACTAATTTTGTTATATTGTATCTAAAGAAGCTGAATGAAACTGATTGGAAAAAAACAAAATAAATAAAATCAAACTGGCAAAGCTGAGCACCACGTTTGAGAAGCGACTACAGTCCCACATAATTGTTGCAAAATAAGCAGTAGAAAATCAATTTCGGATAAAAGCAATCCTGCTCATTTTCACATTTCACCACACTAGCCTGCAAGTCTAGTCGAAAAAAAAACAATAAAAAAACTGCCAAGTGATTTATATGCTTAATATGCCTGATCCTGTCGCATAAAATAGATCATAGCCGATTACGCCACACACTAGTAGTATACTGGGATGATAGCATACTGGCCCCGCCGCGGTGGTCTAGTGGCTAAGGCACTCGGCTGCTGACCCGCAGGTCGCGGGTTCGAATCCCGGCTGCGGCGGCTGCATTTCCGATGGAGGCGGAAATGTTGTAGGCCTGTGTGCTCAGATTTGGGTGCACGTTAAAGAACCCCAGGTGGTCGAAATTTCCGGAGCCCTCCACTACGGCGTCTTTCATAATCATATAGTGGTTTTGAGACGTTAAACCCCACATATCAATCAATCAATGATAGCATACTGATTAGTTTCAGTCTTTTTAGGACTTAGGAGCTGGTCAAACAGTAAAAGTTTGTCATTATTATTCTCTCAGTGCCATTTGCAGCAGGTTTAGAGTGATTACCAACAGCAGTTGTTGTTTGGAGCGGCACGTAGCAGCCTTTCTCTTTCTGAGCAGTTTGGAGCAATGGGAACAGCACTTCCATCACTGTAACTCATTGGCTAAGATCTTTGAAGTAACTGCAGGAGCAACGAACACCAGGAGGTGGTCAGGATAGCCAGCTGGAGCAAGGTGAGCCTTCTGGCAGTCAAGCCCATTAAATGGTGACACGATTCGCTTAGCTGACTAAGAGGCAGTGTCTGACGACTCTTCTCTTCTAGTTATGAGTGGGAGGAAAAAAAAAACGACAGCAGGGGCTTGTTTCTCCTTCCGTGGTATGACCAGGGTGTGTGCGTGTTAGCCTCTGTTTCAACACAGCACTTAACAATATGAAGATGTCTCACCAACGAGGCCAAAAATCCACCCTTAGCAGCTCACTTAGTTGAAGGATGAGAGGCACTCACTGCTGGGATGCGAACGGTGGCCAGATCAGAACGGCGATCGACAGCCTCCACTTTTCCCGTGAACTGGCGCCCATCATGCAACTTCACGGTCACGAGCCGACCATCGGCCACAACATGTGCATTGGTTAGAATAAGGCCATCGGGGCGCACCACAAAGCCAGAGCCATTGGACACAGCTATCTGCTGTTGTGTGAAGGGGTGCCTGCACAGACAAGATAATTGTGCAAGTACAGCACTGGTCTGAAAGCATCCTGGAATGCTGAGAATACTCCACTAAAGGGAGACCAACTAGCTGCATTCCCTTAAGCTGGATAAAATACAGGATTTGCGTTCCCCTACAGTGTCATCTGCTTTTTTCACTATCATTCATGTTCAGTGTGTCACCAACTTGATAATTTGTTGTCTGCTAGGAGAGCTGTATGCGATTTCCTTCAGCTGCACAAGATTGTTCCACGACAACTGTACCTTAAGAGTGCAGGTTCGATGATTTTGCTCGTCAAAATTTGTAGAGTAGCACATATACACTATATGACAGTCGTCAACAGTCTATTTACCGCAGGCAAACACTACCAATAAATTTCAGTTAGCGACTGTAACATACTTTAATGTGGAATTGACTCTTTTGTGTAAGCTCTGCAGATTGGTGGAGGATTTATGTGTAAGGTAACCTTCACTTAAGAAACATCTGCGCATTAAAGTCAGCAGCAAAGTAGACTAGTCTCGACTAACCTTAAAACGCCTTGTAGACACTTTGAAAAGTACAACTTTTTCTCCATTGCTGCATGATATCCAAAAAGTTGAAATAAATAAATCCACGGACAATACAAATGAGCCCTTCAATGAAAAAAACTTACCTTAAACATTAAGATTAGTCCTCTAGACACCCCTATTAAAAATAAGCATTCATGTTCAAAGCAAAAGCTTTTCGAATGCATAATTAATGCTCACCAACTAGCCCATCTCCCAGTCTTGTTTTATAAAGTAACCCATATTTTGTGTCATAAACACTGCACTTAATTATGATTAATTATGAAATTGTTATCACCTCAAATCACCCACAATGCACTCTTTTTATCCTCTAGAACTAAATATGGTCGAGAGCTAGAAAACTTTTATGATCTCGATGTAGTAATGACTTTGCAATCATTTCATCAGAACACTACTTAGATGTACAGTTCATTATAGTATTTCAAGCTCAATCAGATCTTTCTGCAACACCTAATTGGATTAAAAAGTATGTGTGCAGATAATATAAAGATGAGGGCAAGTTGATGTAATACATAAAGAAGAAGAATTAGAAGCTCAAGGCACTTCTGTCATGTAGGTTTTCAGAACAAACTATTTTTTTACTTAGTTTTAGTTTCATTTTACCACACGCAGTTCATTCACTTTTTGTTTCCACATGAAAAAAAACTTACAAAAAAAACAAAGTGATTCATTCCAGAGTAGTTAAGGCAGCTGACACACAGGACAGGAGTAATCATTTTATCCAACATGGCACAGAGGCAATCACCCGGCAAAGTCAAAGACCTGTGGTCCTTTCATGGCTGGCATAGCTGTGGAGCTATCTCTGCCCCATGGTCTACCCAGGAATCACCCGATGCAGCACATGTGAAGGACTCCTGTTACTGACGTCACGGTCCCCAAGCTATAAAAATGGCAGCTTGGGCTCACTTTTCGGTAGTGAAGTTTGAACTCGACTTTACTATCATAGCTCTGAACAACAAAGAAGCTAAGAATGTAGACTCAAGCAGTAGAGGAATGCACAAATTAAAGCTGTACAGATTTAATACCGTGTCACACAAGCATTGATAAACACATTCGAACTCGAATTTCACAAAGGAGGTTGAAGTGTGGCCACATGAGATGGGCATTGGGGAGAAGCAACACTTATCTTAGTGTAGTGTCCCGACTCCAAAGCACACCTTTGTTCCCGAGCGAGCCCACAGATATCTAAGCAGTTCACCGTACCGGCAGCCGTCTGGTTGTCGACTGCTCCATTTAACCCCAGCTCGTTACTAGCGAGTACCCTACCACACTCCGGGCATCCTACCGCACCCCGTGCATACGTCTTTGGGCCGACGACAACACCGGACATAAAACAGTGGCAATGAGGATGAGATTTGTACCTGCGCTATGCAATTCAGCCACCCGGATTCAGCAGCTCATCACGGTCATCGTGGTATGGACGCCTGCAGTTTTACTTTGAGGCTAACAACATCACTAATGCAGCAATGAAGAATGATTGATTGGTATGTGGGGTTTGACGTCCCAAAACCACCATATGATTATGAGAGGCGCCGTAGTGGAGGACTCCAGAAATTTCGACCGCCTGGGGTTCTTTAACGTGCACCCAAATCTGAGCACACGGGCCTACAAGATTTCCTCCTCCATCGGAAATGCAGCCACTGCAGCCGGGATTCGATCCCACGACCTACGGGTCAGCAGCCGAGCACCTTAGCCACTAGACCACCGCGGCGGGGCGCAGCAATGAAGAAAGCCAACCTGCTAATGCTTTACGGGGAGCAGACATACGACACAGTCTGCGCCCTGATTCAGCCACGCACTCCAGCAACCATAGACTACGATGACATCACAGCTGCGCTACAGAAGTACTATGGCCCAAGGCCATCGGATCTCTACAGCCGAGTCTATTTACAATGGCGAGACCAACTGGAAGGCAAAAAAGAGAGCAACTACGTAGCGGCTCTCAAAAAGCTTGCTGCTGACTGCAATTTTGGGACGTCAACCTTGACAATGACAACTTCAGCTACTGCGCAGGAGGGAGCATCTACTGCCACACCTGCTAACACCACTATACTCCCCTTGGACAACATGTTGTGTGACCGTTCTGTGTGCAGAGAGAGCGACGAAGACCTACAATAATGCCTGTTCACGGAGACAGGTCTCACCTTTGCCAAGGCATACGACATCATCCAGAAAGCAGAAAGTGCTGGTCGCCAGCAAAGAGATATTCGACGGAACGTCGAACCAATATATCACACCAATTAGCAGTCAGGCCATTCCATCACTACAGCTTATTCAAAAAGAAATACACAACGCTGTTGGCGAAGCGATGAGATGCACGATCCCCAGGTGTGCCGATTCAAGATCGCTATCTGCAACTTTTGCCAAAAACCGGGACATGCATCACCAAGTGCAAACAGCTCTGACCAAAGACTTCAGTACTACGGGTAAACAACCTTGAGGCACAAGAGGGCCATCTACAAGATTGCCTGACTTGTCAATGCAACCCCATCAAGAGCCTCTATTCTTGAATAAGAAAGACCAGACAAGCCGTAGCACACCCTGCACATTGATTTTGCTGGACTAATCAAAGGGTGTTCATTCCTGGTGATTGTAGACACATACACAAAGTGGCTTGAAGTAAAGCAAATGACCACAACATCCGCAACAATGATCAACACTTTTCGATCATTGTCTGCAACGTTCGCCCTACCACGCAAAGTAGTCTCGGACAACCGCACTTCATTTGTGTCTACGAAAATTCTCAAACTTACAGTGACAATGTCTCATCTGCTATATGACCTTCTTACCACCCGGCAACGAACGGACAAGCTGAGTGCTGCGTGGCAGAGCTTAAACATGCCCTTACAGACAATCAGACGGGAACAATGCAACGTCATAATGTGCACTTTCTCTTCGAGCAGCAGAACACTTCTCAACCCTGCTGACAGTAATTGTCCCGGAGCACTCATCAGAAACATCGTCGGGGAAAGAAAAGGTTCTGCGCAGCAGGAGAATTGAAACTGGACAACGCGTATATGCACGCCAGCTCAACTAAATACCCTACTGCTTTGAAGTGACGGCACTCGAATGCATAGGTTTGCAGTCATGGCTCATCGACATAGGCAGAAAAGCCACTCACCGCCACTTTAATCAGCTATGTCGTTCAGGTAATTTGCCAGAGGAGGCTCCCTTTCAAGCAAGCATCCCGACAGAAGCGTCATCCCACCTAGCCTGGCATCTCGCACCAAATGAATCGGCGCCGCCAACGGCTGGCCCAGAACGCAAGGAAAATGACACCCAGCAAGTTGAGGCTTCTCCGAACACACCCAAAATGTCCATGTGCCAACGGCGACCCCAGGACCACTTCCAAGCAAAAATGTAAGAGAGGAGATGTATTCCAACTCCCAAGTGCACTTATGTTCCCAAGCGGGCCCCAGAATATCCAAGCGTTTCACCGTACCTGCAGACGTCCGGTTGTCGACTGCTCCTCTTTACCCCCACTCTTTACTAGCGAGTAACCACTCCTTTCCAATGACAGTTCGGCTGCCACCTCCGAGTAGGAATAAAAACATTTTTTATCCCTTCCCAACTATATACTTTATAGGCTATCGTGCCCCACGTGTACGTCTTTGGGCCGACAGCACCACCAGACATAACACTTAGTAACCATATTCTGTATATGTGAAAGCTCATAATTTATCGAAATCAAAATGAAAAATTGGCTTTGGTTACAAAAACATGTAGAACGAAACTCTGACAACTGTGCTGGCAATACTGTATTTTGCGTTGATGCAAGTCTGCTGAACCATGTAGGCTGGTTGGTCAAAGAAAGGCACACTGCAAGGGGGCATCATCCGTGGGATTTATTAATATGTATATTATTAATATATGTATTAAGGCGTATAGATAGTTCCTAAGACACGCATTCCAAACAGATAATGCAAAGAGAAAAATTTGAATGTTGTTAAAATGCATTTACTTCATTGCCTACTGCAATTTCTGCTAGCTCTTTTTTTTTTTTTTTTGTCCCTGCAGCTTGCCCAAAATGAGAGCACTCCCATGGACATCAAGGGAGATTGTTGAACACCTTGTGCGTGTTCACTTGTGCGTGTTCTCTTTGTCCTGTCCTTGTCAATTCAGAGCTGCGCTTACATTTATGAACATGCTGCACTAACAAGGCCAACAAGCCAACCTTTCTATTGCTGAACTCCCTACACAAAATGTTTTAAAGTCGAACTCCGTTACAACGAACGCTGCTTCAACGAAATTTCCGCTACAACGAAAAATTCACGGTTCCCCGTCAGCAGTTCATAGGAGTCAATGCATAAATATTGCCACCTAGAGTTGTGAGCCGGCAAGCCCTAGCGAGCCGAGAAGGGCAAAGAGAACGAAGACGTGTGTGTTAGCGCTTCGTTTAAGGGGGGACGCGCCCTTTGAAAACCGAAAAATCGC